GCGGAGCAGCGCGACTCGCCGGCCGGTAAGTAAAGCCAAAAAGCGTCCAAAATCCCCCCCTTGACACTGTCTTAAGTCGACTCTACAAAATCTGACGCCAAATGTGACAGACCATCTGTCTAGTAAGGCCACAAAGAAGCTTAAATCACTAGCAATTAAAATCAAGGAAACTAATTAATTCGGGACAAGCTTATCAGCTCAGCGTGACGCCAAAAATACCAACAGGTGCAATCCCTGAGAGCGACTGAAATATTAGTATTACTCGTTAAATATGATATAGCATTAACCCTCTCCAGGCAGACGTTGCAGATTTGCAACAGTTAAGAACTAACAACCTGATCACCCCACATACATATTTTATGAGTTTCTTTTACTCAGAAGTAGCACTGCAGGACTTGGTTGTGCATTAGCAACATAAAACTTAATTTGAGCCTGAGAGGGTTAACACAGTCACGTGTACAACATATTTAAAATATAAAGTATAGATTTGGGGTTTTTTGTTTGTTTAATTGTTTAATTGTAAGCTGAGTCTATCGTACATTTGAGGGATTTTAATCACAATAGCAACAGGAAGTTGCTGGAATATCGCTGCAGGAGTTGTACGGGAAATTAGTAAGGTGTTTAGTCAGCACCTCTGATACTGTGGTTTACAGTAATTATGAAAGGCTCTCAGACTGCAGGCACGCCAAACAGCTGCTGTGACTGAACCAGCATGAATGACTGGTTTCATCCAGACTGGACTGGATGCTGAACAAATGGGGAAGCGATAAGAAACTCTGAGCTTTCTATCAGATTAGATATAGATCTCATTTTATTCCTTTTTAGTTTTAAATAACGCTGAAATCTGCACATATGGAATAATTGCAGTAATTATGAATGAATACAAATGGAAAATGATATATTCAAACTGAATTCTCGGGTTGTAATAGCCATGTGTGTGAACTAGGTGAAAGGTGAATGTGGCTGAGGTAACATTAGAGTTCGGTCATTGAAATCACAATTACACCATAAAGCTCTGACATCTGCAGGATTCAGGGATGGGGGAGAGAGGGGGGGGGGGGGGGGGGGGAGTTATTCTGGAAAGGTTTCAACTGGGGGAAAGTTTGCTGGTCTCTGGGAGAATTCAGTCAGGGTCAGACAGCATGCCAGGATTACGCGCAGATCATTTCTGCGCTGTGGAGGAGGGAAAGGGCAACAAGGTTTTCTTGGACTCTTGTTCAGATTTCTCACCTTGGGTCTTAACTAAAATAAAAATAATAATAATAATAATAAAGGAAAACAAAGGGGAAAGGCAAGCTAAATTTATCTCTGAACTTTGTACAGATATCGTATGTTGTTTTGAAGACACTCACCTCCTCCCCATTTCCAAGATGTCCCACCTTTTTCTGTTAAACAAACATTTTTACATCCCTGAAGAATGAGCAACCTTTGCCCTACAACAATCAAACAGGCATTCCTCCTCCTGAGCCTCCTTTCCCTTTGGTCGTCCTCTCCTCCCCCATCCCTGTGCACCTCCCAGCCACCCCATCTCCTCCTTATTTCCAATTATAATGAATTAGAAATGTGCTAAAGTTCAGGAGAACCCTTGACCCCTGAGCAGACAGTCACCACAACAAGAGTTCATTTCTCTAAAGAAGAAAAGGTCACCTCACACAAACAGATTTTGCTACTGTGTGATCAGCTGATGAGCTTTCACTGAAACAACTAGAACAACCAAATTTAAATCTATATATATGCACAGTAAATTGTGACGAGGCTTTGGCAGGATATTAAACTGCACTACATGATGTCATCCTTACTAAAAAAGGATTATGCCAGGGGTGCAATTAGCCTCATCCCTTATTAAAGCACGTGCCAGCTCTGGAGACCCCTGCTCTGCATACAATAACAGCCCCCCTCATCCCTACACCACGCTGTGATCATTCCCCATGCATGCAGCAGCCATGCACATCTTCGTCACCAAGCGGCTGCTGTGCACGTGAGGGAGGTGTGACAAGCCAAGGGGGAGGAAGGGGGTCGGATGCACGAGCGAGAGGGCGGGGGGTTTGTAGAGGAATGTAAAGGATAGGAGTATGTAACTCTATAGGTTGCACAGCCCAGCACTTAAAGAGAGCAGGCTGCCTGGGAACTGGGAGAAAGGTCATGTTTACAACAGTCCTGCTAAAGCTAGGTCAAAGTTTTTGTTTTTTGTTTTTATCAGGAACACACTCATATCTCCAGACATAGTGATAAGCTTTTATTTTTCTTTCCCCTGGAGATATAGTCTTATTTGAAAACACTCTACTCGAAGTGTGCAGCAGCCCATTACTGAAAGATTCACTAACTGTGAATGACCTATTTCTGAAAGCTGGGTAGGATAACCAAAATAAAAACATTTGAGGGAGCTGGGGCGAAATCTGAACACAGCGGTTGGACTAAAAAGGCAGCATGTCTAAAGCACATCCAGGGAAAAAGGCATCCGTGATACAGTCCAAGTTTTAACTTTTTTTCCTTCTTCTTTGTTCTTTTTCCAGAGACGGCATCGGACTGTCACGAGCTGTTCATGAGAGGAGAGACCACCAGTGGGGTGTACACCATCCAGCCAGCAAACTCAGAGCCCTTTGAAGTCTTCTGTGAGATGACAGCTGGTACGTGGAGCAAAACTCCTTTAGATTTTGAACCTGCTGTTTCATCAGATGGAATATGTTCTGATCATTCTTTCTCTGTTTTTCTATCCAGACGGCGGATGGACAGTGATTCAGAGGCGCCAAGATGGTTCAGTGGACTTTGACCAGCTGTGGGATGCCTACGAGAAAGGCTTCGGCAGCCTGAATGGTAAATGCTTTTGAATTTTATTTCACTGGCTGATTGGTACAGTGTTCAGACAGGTTATCTGCCTTTTAGTAACGTTGCATCAGTGGACAGAAATACCCTCCAAAAACATTTTAGCACTTAAACCTGAAATGGACCACATGCAAACAGAGCTCAAACTCCTCTTCTTTCCTTCCTCTCCAGGAGAGTTCTGGTTAGGTTTAGAGAAGATTTACTCTATTGCCAAAGATGGCAGCTACATCCTCAACATCAAGCTCTCTGACTGGGTGGATGACCTTGCAACCGTCCGTCTCCCGTTCCAACTGGGCGGACAGGAAACCAAATATTCCCTCCAGATTCAGAAGGGTGGCACTTTCAGTGACCTCGAGAGCTCCCTGGCCACTGACACCGCCTCTGGTCTGCCTTTTTCCACCCATGACCAGGACAATGACCAGAAAAGTGACACCAACTGTGCCAAGCACCTCTCTGGTAAGATACAATGATGAACATCCTTCAGATATTAACTCGTGATGTGGCTCACATAGAGTCCAGTAAAAACGCATCAACTAACCTAATATCGTCCTGTTTTTTCTAGGTGGTTGGTGGTTCAGTAACTGTGGGCGCTCCAACTTGAATGGCAGATATTTCCAGAGTCCTCCTCCCAAGCAGCGGCACCAGAGAAAGCAAGGCATCTTCTGGAAGACTTGGAGAGGCCGTTACTACCCTTTGAAATCCAGTATGATGATGATTGCTCCCGCTGCAATCGAGAGAAAATCATAAAAAACCAGACGAGGCAAAAACAAGAAGGGTTGTAAGAAGCAGAACTATTGGTTGATGAGGTAGAGCTTGCCACTTCCTTGGTTATCTCCCTTTAGGGACTTAATCTGAGAGCTACAGCCCTCAAAATCAGGACTGTTCTCCAGAGAAGATGAGCAGATTCCTTCCCGGCATTGATGGCCACAGAAGAGACAAAGCTAAAACGTGCAATGGAATTTAAAAAAAAAATTAATATGTCGTAGCATTGCGCAGTTTCTTTCTGCTGGTTTGAAGCTGGTGCTCCCAGTCAACAGGACGTCCCATCACAGCGTGCCCCAGCCTGTCCAGTGAGCTGTAAGCAAAGAAGCTTTTCCAACAAGTCCAGACTCCTCATCACATGTGAGGTGTCAGCTGTGTATGCGGTCTGTTGATAAGTTTGAATGTAGCAAGGACTGTCAGATTTTTAATAAAAAGGAAAGAAAAAAACCATGCAGCATGCATCAAGCAAGCCTTTTAAACCCAATGGGGCAGACCAAATGGAGACTTAATTAAAACAGTCATTTTCTACGTGAACATGACGACAGAAGCATTGTGTAAAGTTGTACTTCACTGTAAACTAGATGCAGAAACACTGTTCCAGCCTTTTGTACCACATACTGCACGTTCTGCCTGCAAATTTGAATCAGTCGAAAACTATTCTTAACTGAGTTGTTCTGATTTTCCTGTGGAGATGTTGTTGATAATAAGTCATATTGACTACTTTTAAGACGAGTTTTTGTAAGTAGTATTTGAAGGACTGTTTTCATAACTATAACTGTTACTGTTGTCCAGTGATATTATCTGTGTCCTTAAGACTTGAGAGCTACTGTAGATGTTTTTTTTCCTTATTTAAATGTTGTAAAAAAAATCACCTGATAAATGTATATATCTATCTATCTATCTATCTATATATGCTGTTTGTAATTTATGTTCTGGTTTTTTTTAAGAGAAAGATTTGGGGCCATAAAGAGCCAATAAAACTGATTGAAACCAATATCTGTGTGCACTTTATCTGTTATGTTCAATGCAATTCAGTTTTATTTACACAGCCACAAACCTCAACAGTCACCTCAAGATGCTGTACATGCAAAACCCCAAGAATCAGATGACCAAGGGCGACAGTGGGAAAGAAAACTTCTTGCATTTTGCAGTAAATCCATAACCAAGATGTGATGCAAGGCATGTAGTCTGATTTCACATTGTGGCTACCTCATGTAATTAAACTGATATTTATTTTTCTTACACTTGTAACACAACACTGAGTTTGCTAACCGCGCAAACACACATCTGCACTAAACCGCAGCCGCACGTAGCAGACCTCTCGATCAGCAGCTTATACCTGGAAGCAAACCTTAGCTCCAAGGTGTCAGCTTTAATTTCCAGAGCACCACCTTCTACATCCTTGTCAGGCTTACTGTTAATGTGCTTCATCCACAGTGATCCTCCGAGAACTGACAGCCGGGTCAAGATCAACATCTGAGACAGCTGATCTGAAGGAGTTTACCCTCATCTCAACTCGCCTTTCTCTTCTGGGCTACGGTGTTGCCAGTGAAAGTCGACGGCCTGATGTCACAGCTTGGGTGATGTAAAAAGAACGGGACAGCACTTCCTGCAAATGGAAAGCATTTGGTGACTTGTTGTGGTGACTGTCTGCTCGGGCGACTGTAAGGCATGGGAACAGGTTTTTGTTTTTGTTTTTTTAAACCTTGGTAAATAAGGTTTACCATTTTTTTTCATTTAGCATGCATTTAAAGTGTTCTTTCTGCAACTCTCTAAATCAAAACTAAAACCAATTTATTCTTGAAATGTACTTTTAGGGCATATTAAGAAACTGTGGCAACACAAACCTATTTGCATTTGTCTAACACCTTTAAATATCTCTCTATTTTTTTATTTATTTTTTTGGTCGTGGTGGTGGGGGGCTTCTAAGCCCAGACATTGGGATAGTCTAAATATTGTTATTCCCATTTGATTTGCAAAGTTTTATATGAATGAATGTAAACTTGCTAAAATGATTTTCATGGTTCAAAGTCAAGGTGGGCCTATAAATTAAGTAGAGTTTTAATTTGAACAATAAATAAATAAATAAATAAATAAAGCTTTCACTTAAGGCGCTTTTGGTTTATTTGTGTTGACCTCCTGCTGTTTTGTTCTCTTTGGCTCTTTCGGGAACAGTGCCAGTACAATCCAAAGCATTAGCTGTACTCCCTACCAAGAAACAGTCCAGTGTTTCTGTTTGTTTGTTTTAAACAAATTAAGCACACACCAGATGAAGCAGAATAATTCATTAGCTTTAATGGAGCTGGTAGACAGATTTGATTAACCTTAATCAAGACCTTTCACTAAACGAATCTAACCAGTTTTCAGCTGTCACTTTATTAGGTACACCATGCTAGTACCAAGTTGGACCCCCTTTTAACCTTCGAATCTGCCTTAATTCTTCATGGCACTGATTAAACAAGATGTTTGAAATGTTCTTTAAAGATTTTGGTCCATATTGATATGAAAGCACACAGCTGCTGCAAATCTGTGATGGGAATCTCCCCTTCCACCACACCCCAAAGGTGCTCTATTGGATTGAGATCTGGTGACTCTGCAGACCATTTGAGTACAGTGAACTCATTGTCATGTTCAAGAAACCAGTTTGATTTGAGCTTTGTGACATGGTGTGTTATCCTGCTGGAAGCAGTCATCAGAAGATGGATCCACGCTCAACAATATTCAGGTCCATGGTGCTCAGTTGGTGCCAAGGGCCATAAAAGTGTGCCAACTGGCCTGAACCATTGATATAATGCAGGATGGATCCATGCTTTCGTGCTATTTGTGCCAAATTGTGACCCTACCATCTGAATTTTGCTGCAGAATAATCAGACCAGACTACATTTCTCCAATCTTCTGTTGTCCAGTTTTGGACAACAGGCCATTCTCTATGAACCCTAGATTTTGCTTGAAAATCCAAGTAGATCAGCAGTTTCTGAATCACAGTCACTTAAATCACTATTCATTCCTTATTCTATTGTCCAGGTTGACCTTTAAAAGGCTGCTTTGACCATGGCTACATGCCTAAATGTCTAATTGCACTAATAAGATGTGATGGCTGCACTTACAGCCACACAGTGGTAATACCCACCATGTTAGTGTAGAGGCTTATAAGTAACATTGCATTCACATTTCTTTCTTTAAATATAGGAATTTATTTACAGGACAATAAATAACTGGTTTTGGTTTAGTTAATTCATATATCCACATAACGCTGCATTCTAAAATAAGTGCGCACATTTTAGTTTACACTATTATGTATGATTAATCTTTTGTTTTCTGAGTTACCTTAGTTGCAGCTGTTCCAGTCCCTTGATTAAGGAGCCAAGAGGTGGAAAAGGGGCGGAGCGAGGTTTAAAGGAAGGCTACAAATTGGTTCACGCCATAACTCGGGACCATGGGGGGGAATTGGAGTTCATTATGTTTGGTTTAGTTAGGTTTTGTGTGTTTTACCCCTTTTCCTGTTTTTGTGGGCTGATCAGCCACTATTTAAGTTTCCCCTTTGTCTCGTTAAGTTAGGTCAGTTTGTTTGAGTTATCAGTTGTGTTGTCAACTTTGAGTAGAGTTTTGTTAGTTTGACCTCTTTTATGGGCCCAAGATTTTGATTCTTTTTGCATGAGTTAACCAATTATGTTTTTTGGGTTAAATAAAAAATCATTTTTTGGACTTTAACCTGTGCCTAAGTTTCCTTCACTGCACGGTCCATCACATAAGACATGGCTGATTAGAGGCTTGCAATAACAAGCAAAGGATCAAATATTGCCATTTCCTTCTTCTCCAAAGGCCTGCTTGTTTATTGAAGTGATTTTAAGGGCAGTGGAATCCAGTTAAGTCTCTGCGGTGCTCCCAAATCAATATGAAGCATCACTCAATACATCTAAAGGTTACCACAGCATCAGCTGCCACATGTTTGGGGAGCTTCAAAGCCCTCTTCTTGTAGCTGAGGTGGATTTCTTTAAGTCAGGTGCAGGTCTGATGTGAAGAGGAATACAGGAGCCGGGGGGTCTAATTGAGGCTTTAAGCCACACTTGACATTTAAAATAATAATTTTAAAAAACCTTTTAATCCCAGAAAATATGAAGTACAACAAGACATATAACCCTTCACAGGTAGAAAAACAATAAGACTGCACCAGAAGAAAGCTTGTGATTGATTCATACATTTATTCATTATCATGTACAAATTGTATTTCGGTGGTACAAAGCTGTTGTAAGACTCCAGTGCTCACCCTCTTGTTGTCTTTATTGCAGTAAAAAAGGGAAATACCAGCATGATCAAGAGTCAAGAGGTACTTTGGCAAATATAAATTATGTGTTAAGAAGGCAAGCAGACATCTCGAGCAATGTAATATGACGGGGTAAGACGGCGCAAAAACATCAATGAGTGCCTTCCATCAGCACTCATGAAGAAAAAAAAAAGAATAAAAATCCATAAAAATATTTCATTTTAAACAACAAACGCTAAAAACACAGACAGAGGAAGAGCCTTGATTTTCTTCCTTTCTTGATTATTACACCAACTCCGAGGTACAGACCCACAGTATGTATGGCTATTGTGAGGGTGGGTGTGAGTGTCTGTGCTTATGTATGAGATGAACTGTATTTTACATATGCATGTATACTGTAAAGGTTTACGTCTGCAAATGCGCGGACACATTTCCATGTCATATCTGTGAACTGTAACCACCGCTTCTACCTCTGACTGGAGTAAACAAAACAGGCTTGGGGGGGCGGGAAAACAATTTGATAACGTTTGGCAGAAACCATCGTGGCTGTAGAAATGAAGATGTGAGTGAGCAATGAGTCAGACTGACACAGCCTGCAAACATTTCTTCACAAGTCTTTGTTCGGCTTTCTGGGTGGGACACCACATGTCGTGCACGTAAACCTTTCTCCAGACTGTACATGGGGGTGAAGGGGGCGTGAAGAAGACTGGGAGAGCAATTGAGTAACAGAAGAAGACAGAAAGGAGGAAATGTAATGCAGAAGTGAGACGAATAGTTGGTTGGGAGGAAAGGAGCTGGTGGCTGCTGGGTGTCTGATGTGTTTCTTGCTGACAGGGTAAACAGTTAGAAATGGGCTGGGGTGGGGAGGTCATGGAGAATACAGGTGGGCGGACAGTTGGGAGGGGTAAAAGAAGGAAGAGGGGAATTTGACTTCACTTGTCCCCTGTTGTCTGATTTTAGAGGTATTGTTGTAGAAAGTGCAGCAGCATTATCTCGTAGTGCTCTCCAGACTCAGGGCAGCGGATACTGTGCCGCTCGTTGGGGTAGACCTTTAAAAATGAAAACAGAGCAATCAACCAACATCAGCAAATTAATTTATAAATTAATACACATGCTCTTTGTGTGTGTACAGTAACCAATCATATCTAATCTAGAAAATATCTTTTTTGCCTTTGAAGCCACTCATGACCTTCTTTACAAAGGTTGTTTTTGTAGCCTAGCACCTGCTGTTGCTAGGTTACACAAACCATCTCCCTTATCCATATATAACTGGGCCATGAGGGACAAACAAGCGCCGTTTAACCTTTACCCGTGTTGAAGTTGACACTGTGAAGCTCAACACTTCTTGATTTTGATTGGTTGGTGACAGAGAAGTGGTTCAAGAGTTAACTTGTATTTCCAAATGAAAGCACTGAAAGCGCAGCAGGAAAAAGAAGCTGCTTTGCATGATCGCACTGAACGCTGTCGATGCAAAGTGTCACAGCATTGAGGCTGTCATTATGGAAATAGCTGCCCACTGACACTAAAGGTTCAAAATTCAAAACAACAATCCTAATCCTAATATATAATCCAACTACTGTATTATGTTAACTGAAGTTAATTTATTGAACTATAAATAAGTGATACAAGCGAAAATCCTGTGAAAACTAAGATGGCCCTTAGCAGTAAAAGTGCACTTTCTTCTATGTTTCTGGAAGCATGATCTGATATCCAAGTGCTGGTGATGTTATATTATCACCATATAGGCTATATTATCATAATAATAATGTTGGTCCAGGATCAGCCCTGCATCTGACCAGTGATGTTGTTCGATCACTCACTATCACTAACAAACCAACATAAGTGATCAACTGCAGCATTGATCCTGGACAACATGATTGTGATAATGCTGGAACAACATAAACATACACACACACATGTATTATGCTCTTAAGATATGAAACAAACCTGAAGCTGGTAGGGCTTTCCAGCCCGGATTATCTGTGACACTAGAAAATTGGTGTGGAAAAAGTGTACATTCTCATCCAGAAAGCCGTGGAGAATAAGCAAACGGTTGGGCCTGAAGAAGAGAGTTACGATGTGATTAGTTAAACTGCAATGAATACGTGTTCTGAGAACAGTAAAAACATGTTCCCAACATTACAAATGTTTTAAGTGGCACAAAGAGATTTACAGAATGATTACACAAATGCAGTTGTAAAAAATCTTTTACTCTCTCTTTCAGTATCACGTTTTTAAGGTCATCGCTAGAACCCTAAATAGTGAGGTTCCGTCAGGATGCAATCTTAATGTTTGCAGAACTTATTTTACATACAAAAAATAATAATAATAATAATCCACA